TTCCCTGCTGTAGGGTATATCCACTGGCATCTTTCTCTGCACCCTTTAGCTTTAGTGGTACTGGAGGGTGGGCGGTGGAGGTGGGCAAGGGTTGTCCTCCTTCCCCAGCCTAACATCTCTTATTTCCTACCTATCCGCCCTCATTCCAAATCTGATTCATCTTCCAGGCCCCCTCTGCTCTGCACTGACCTCCTTCACCTCATTTATCATTCATACTACCCATCTTTTGTTGGCTTCTAAGCTGTCCTGGCCCATTGGGCTTGGTATTTGTGGTATAGTTATCTTTACAGATGTTTGTTTTTCAATGACCTTTTCATATCTCTCCAAGTCTAGTTGACTCTGTCAACTCCTTGAGGGCAGGGCCAACAGTGTCTGCTTCTTTATCTGATGTGGGTGGAGAGTGTGTGTGTGTGTGTGTCCGTCCTCCTTGGGGGAAGGGGCCTCAGCTCAGGAGGAGGGACCTTGAAATGGTTGAGGCTGCACCTGGAGGCTCCACCTGGAGGCTGGAGGAATGTAGTCTTCTTGAGCTGCAGATGTTTGTGCCTGGGAATGAAGGAATTGCTGTACTTTTGAACTAGCCCCCCCCCCCCACGCACCTTGCAAACAGGAAAATGAGACCACCAAGGCAAAACCGGAGTGACCTAGGGGACCTAGGGACTTGGCCAGGAAAAGGTTTTCAAAGCCTGAGCTCCTCCAGCCAGTGTTCTAAGGCGCCCCTCTCTATCCACCTGTAGTGTGAGGGGAGAGCCCCCTGCACCAACACGTCTTGTTCTGGAGCGCTCCCAATTTCTGTGCAGGCGCCTTCTGTCCATCTCTGTGTGCTCTGCGTTTTCCTACAGCTTCCTGGGCCTCTCGCTCATCTCTAAGCTTTTTCTTTTTTTTTTTTTTTGGTTGTGCTTCTTAGAGACTCACTTTTAACAACTTTCTCCTGGCTCTCCCCGACTGTCCGAAACCTCGTCTCTTCTTTCGCCTGCGCTCCTGGTTCTCCCAGCGCCCCCAGCTTACCTCCGCAGCTGGAGAGCAGCCCCCTCCCTCCCGGTCCCCTCCTTCCCGGTCCCCTCCTTCCCTTCCTCCGCTGCCCTCGGGCTCCCCGCCTCGCCCCCCGGCTCCGCACGAATCTCGCAGAGTTGGGGGAGAGGGGCGGGGACGGCCTGCCCGGGAGGAGGGGGCGGGCGCCGCCTCCAGCCTGGCCGGGGCGGGGCCCTGGGAACGGGCGGAGGCCCAGCCGCGCCCCCAGGCCCCAGCGCCGGCCCGCGCCCCTCGGACCGGAGGAGAGGGGCTGGCCCACTGCCAGCGTCTGAGAGCCGGCCCCCTCCCCCGGCCCGCTCGCAGCCAACCAGGCACTCCAGCGGGGCCCACGTGACCTGGAGTTCTAGACAAAGAAAATGTTCAATCCCTCCCCCCCACCTCCCCCCTCCCCTCCCCCCAGACGGGCAGCTACTTACAGAGCTTCAGGGCCGGGGCTCACACCTGAGCCGGACCACAGAGGGGCTGCACCTGGCCTTATGGGTAGGTTCCTGGACGGAGCCCTGGGGAGACTGGGGGCGGGGAGGCGGCAGGGGCCGGTGGGAGGATCTCTGGGTTTGAGAAGAGTCAAGTATGCCTCCCCGGCCCGCAGGAGCTGGCTCCTCTGCCTGGCTTGAGTTCTGGAGATGCTGAGTTACTGCTGTCCCACCAGTCCCTCTTCAGGAGCCCCAAGCCCCACTCCTCCCTAGCCTCAGGTGGGACCTGGTGGCTCTGGGGCCAGGAACAACAGCCCCTGCGTGGGAGCCTGGGGCAGTGGTCAATGAAGACTGGGGGGGCAGGCCCCTGCGAGTGGAGCTGGGAGACCAGGAGTTGGGCTGGAAGCAGCGTTTTTGCTGAGCTGGTTGGCAGATGGGTTGTTGGCATTTCCTTGCTGACCTGCGTTCCTGGCTGGTGGACCACACTGTCCTCAGGCCGTGCCAACCTTGCGGCCTCTTGAGAGGGACAGTCTCCTATCCTGTGTGTCCCTGGGAGCCACCGGGCAGTCCCCCAGAAAGAAGTGCTAGGTTGGGAGCGAGCAGTGCGACCCTCACAGGGGGCTGTGGCACATCAGTGGTGTCGCGGGGGGCGGCCTGATGCCGGCCTGGGACAGGAGAGGTGCCTGGGACAGCGGGGTTTACTGCACCGGCACCGGCAGGGAGTCCTGCATGGGCTCCCAGACCTCTGACCTTTGGAACCGGAAGCAGCCCGAGTCGCAGAGGGAGGTGGAGGCGGTACAGCTGCCTGAGGAGATGGGACTGGACGGAGAGGCCTTGCCTCCACCAGAGTGGAGTTACCAGTGGCTTTCCAGGCTGGACGAACTCCAGGCGAAGTGGCTTCCTTGAGCCGCAGTGGTGGTGGTGGGGGTGTAGTGTCTTTCTGATCTTGCCCAATCTCTTGGCCACTCTGGGCTGGGACCTTCTGAACAGGGGGTAGGAGCCTTTAGCCCATATGCCAGAGCCCTGAGTTAACCCCTCTTTCTCCTATTGTTTGCCTGGGGAGCAGGGTTGTAGTGAACGTGGAAAAAAGGCACCCCGCCTGCACTGCCCTAGGCTGACTATTCTAATGAGGCCCCTCCCCCACCCAGCCACCGTCTCTGCCCCTTCTTCCCCTTTCCTCTTGCCGCCTGCTGCTAACCCACCCCCTTCTTCCTTTCCCCACCCCTGCTGGTCTTGTCCTGATGGAGGCCCCCTTCCTCCTCCCCCGCCTGCCAAAACCGTGCTGGGTGCGTGTTCTCCTGCACCTAGTGCGTTGAGGGCGCTTAACAGCCGTCAGCAGCAGCATCTGACAAGCCGGGGGATGTTGTGGGGGCAGAATAATGTTCGGGAGCTCGCTGTGGAGGGGTGGAGAAGAGAGACAAAGGGGCTGTGGGGGAGTGAGGAGGGAGGTGTCAGGCACGACTCCATTCTAGGCCTGGGGAGTCTGGGGGGAGCCCGGCGCCCACCCGATGCTGCTTGCTGTGGAAGTGACTTCAGCTCCTTTCCTCAGAAGGCCCCTCTCCCCCTCTTTCCCTCTGCCACCAGCACACCTTGTTCTGGCTGAGGGGCCTCATCACCCCTGGACACGGGGTCTTTGGGTCAGCCAAGGCAGCACCCTGGTCCAGATGAGTCATCCATGCCTGAAGTTGGAGGAGGCATGGTGGAGGGAAGGGAGCAGAGAGCTAGGCATGGCGTTTAACTGTGTGCTTTGAGCACATCTGGTGCTGGGATAGTGCTGCCCCGGCTGGGGTTCAGGGGGAGAATCGCCTTCCTCATGGGGTTGAGTGGTACCAAGTGCACCTTCTTGTGGGGGAGGAGGTGGTAGTAATTGATAGTAGGAAGGAGAGGGCAGAGTGCCCTGCCCGCCAGGTGAGAGTGGGGCTTGGGAGGGATGAGCAATTACTCTGCATGTTTCCACCTCCAGGTCCAGGAGCTCATTCTCAGCTGATTGTGGGCTGGAGGCAAAGGATGCATTATCCCGTTTTAGAATTTGTTGTCAGAGAGAGAACTAGGACTTCCATCCTCAGTGTCCTAGGAATCGTAGGAATCACCACAAGAAGCAGATTGGATCTGTGGCCAGGAGGCAAAGACTTGAAGGTTGAATGAAATAAAATGAATCTACAAGACAGTAGACCATTGAGCTTAGAACAGAGGCTCTTAACTTGGGACTCTGGGATCTGAGAGTCCATTGACAGGCTCTGGAGAGTTCTTAGAATTCTTGATACATATATATATCAGATTTTTAAGCCAGTCAGAAGAGGTTAACAGAAATCCTTCAGTTCAAATGCCTTTTTAAGTTCGAGCAACTCGGAGGAGAAGGGGCTACTCCCAAGTCAGCTGGTAATTAGTTGCGAGATGAAGACAGGAACGTAGATGCTCCAACTTCCAGTCTAGAGCTCTGACACTCTGATGTCCTTTTTTAATCTTGAGGATGGTTGGCATCCACAGCTCTAAGCTCTCAGGGAAAGCTTCATGTGGAATGGCATGTTGGAGATGGCATTTTTTCTCTGAGTCTGGTGTGCTGGAAATGGGTGCAGAGCCATGGAGTTCAAGGGCCACATGTGCAAGATTCAGTAGCTGGGGTGAGATTAGGTTGAATGGTTCTCAGAGCTAAGTATCAAGGATTTCGTTCTCTGTAGGGAGATGGGAATCCTAGAGCAGATTTTTAGAAGGAGTGGGCATGTGGATCATACCTGAAAGATGTGTGTGAGCCAGTGAAAGGATGGAGGCTGTCCAATTGAGAGACTAATTGGGTTTGAATTATTTTGTCAGTGGGATGGCAGAGAGAATGCCTGGCCTGTAATGTGTGCTCAGTAAATACTTGTTGAAAGAATAAATGTATTTATGGATCTGAAAGGTGCACGTAGAAAAAGGGAGAATTAGTAACAGAATGTACATTGGATGTAATCCTAAGAAGTCCAGAATGGCGTGTGAGCATGGGAGCAGGCAAGCTCTTACAGGGCTGTCTGTGGTGTTTGAGCAGATGGGGAAGAAGACGTGTTCTTTAAACACAGAGCAGGGATTTCATCATCAGTAGACATCACAACAAAACCAGAATTGTGGTCTCAAAGCCAAGACCAGGAATAGAAGGAGTTGATTGCCCAGGAAAATGTGGAAAAAAAGACTAGAGGATCCAGTTATTGATTGGGAAGTATGACACGCGAGGAGAGGATGGAGCCAAGGTCTGTGCCTCAGCTCAGGTGCATGATTAATATCTGAATAGGATTAACCTTTCCATATCAGAGGGTGGGCAACAGATAATGTTGAGGAAGATTAGACCAGGGAGGAAGATTTCCTAGGAGGCAGAAGAGAGGGCTGGAATTCATCTCACAACTTCAGATCTTTCCATTTTCCATGGCAAGCCAGTTGGGTTAATGAGGGAAGAACTCCTCTCTCCAGCCCTTTATCTTCCGTCACTCGCTCCAGACCACAAAGAGATTGAGAAGAGCCCACTGAGCATCAGGTGGCCTTGCTAATTCCTGAAGAGGTCAAGGTAACTCCTGTTCCTTGTTTCCCCAGGCTGAGAAGAAAGCCAAGGTGATTGCAGTAATGAATGCTGTGGAAGAAAACCAGGGCTCGGGCGAGGCTCAGAAGGTGGAGGAGGCCAGCCCTCCTGCTGTGCAGCAGCCCACTGACCCCGCATCCCCCACTGTGGCCACCACACCTGAGCCCGTGGGGGCCGACGCTGGGGACAAGAATGCCACCAAAGCAGCCGATGATGAACCGGAGTACGAGGTGAGCGGCTTGCTCCTTCACCTGCCTCGTCCAGTGGGTCCTTCTGCTGCCAGCTCCTCCTGTCCTGCTCTCCTCTCTCCGCCTGACCCCAGGCCTCTTCGTCTCCCCGGTTTTGCTCTGTCTTGGTCCATTCAGATGGAGCTCCCTCCTGGCTGTCCTGACCCTCAGATGCCCAGGGCTGGGGTTGCCGTGGGGGGATCAGGGTGGCAGGGCCTCGTGACCACTGTGTAATGACTTCTGCTCCTTGGGGCTCCAGGACGGCCGGGGCTTTGGCATTGGGGAGCTGGTGTGGGGGAAACTGCGGGGCTTCTCCTGGTGGCCAGGCCGCATTGTGTCTTGGTGGATGACGGGCCGGAGCCGAGCAGCTGAAGGCACTCGTTGGGTCATGTGGTTCGGAGACGGCAAGTTCTCAGTGGTGAGTTACATATGGGGTTTGGTGGTAGCCTGGGGGAGGAAGGGGTCTTGGTCCCAGGGCCTGTGGTTTTGGCTGGGGGCACGGTTTGGAATTGGGGTGGGAGAACAGGGCTCTGCTCGCCTCTACTCTGTATGTGTGAGTGGCAGAAGCCCCAGAGATCATTAGACTGTGCTCAGAGAGCTAGGATGGCTGCCGAGTTTTTGCCTTCCTGGGATCTTCTCCCCAGAATTCCTTTCCTGCTTGCATTCAGGTCCTCCCCCACTCTTGGGTTGGACTCCTCCTTTGCATCCTGTAATTCTTTATGGATGCATCTGGTTCTCCCAAGGGCAGAGGCTTAGTCTTAATGCCCCCAACCCCTGACGATGCCAGGCACGCGGTGGGTGCTTAATGAGTGTGGAAGGAGGAGCAAATTAGGGCAGTGGTTGTCCCTTCAGGTGTGTGTCGAGAAGCTGATGCCGCTCAGCTCCTTCTGCAGCGCTTTCCACCAGGCCACCTACAACAAGCAGCCCATGTACCGCAAAGCTATCTACGAAGTCCTGCAGGTGAGTGCCCCTCCGGGGAACTCAGATCCCAATTAGGGACCACTAGTTGTCCAGAAGCTGGAGTGCAGAGGTTAGGCCTGGGCAGAGGGTCCACCTGCAAGGCCCTTTGGACTCTTTCTCTCCCCACCTTATCACGCCCCCCTTTGTACTCTTCCTCTCGGGCCTTTTCCTTATAGCCCTCTCCTTCCACACCTTCATCCCACCTCTTACCCGAGCCCACCTTCGCTACTCTTGGAGTCTGCCCTGCAGCCTGTCTTGACACCCTCCTCACACGTATTGGCCTACAGGTGGCCAGCAGCCGAGCGGGGAAGCTGTTCCCAGCATGCCATGACAACGACGAGAGTGACACTGCCAAGGCTGTGGAGGTGCAGAACAAACAGATGATCGAATGGGCCCTTGGAGGGTTCCAGCCCTCTGGCCCCAAGGGCCTGGAGCCACCAGAAGGTAAATGCAGGTGCCCAGCCCAGCCTTCTGGGACCCCTGCCAGCCAGGCAACTCCATGCCTAGGCTGGGAAAGCCATGCCTAGGGAGAGCCGCCAAGGCCTCCATCGAGGGGCCCAGTGGGAATGGTCACAGTCTTCCTCTCCCTGGGGTCAGGGTAGGGGTAGTGCCACTTGGGGACTCAGAATAACCTGCTCCCTGTTGGCTTGCTGGCAGTGGGAAGTTGGGAGCTAGAAGAAGTTGGGGACCAGGCTGCACCCCACTGTGGATAGAATAGAGGAAGGGGAGAGGGAGCTTGGATTTCTTGTCAGCTGGTAACCATGACCTCGGCACCTGCTTTCCCGATCCAGAGGAGAAGAACCCCTACAAAGAAGTTTACACAGACATGTGGGTTGAACCCGAGGCAGCTGCTTATGCACCACCCCCACCAGCCAAAAAGCCCCGAAAGAGCACAACTGAGAAGCCCAAGGTCAAGGAGATTATTGACGAACGCACAAGAGGTAGCTGGCCTGGCTCTGGAGAGAGTGGCATGGCGGGTGAGGCCGGCATTCAGAGGAGTGGGTGTGGCCCTCACAGCCTCCTCTGATGCTGGGCTTTCCTCCCCTCCGCAGAGCGGCTGGTGTACGAGGTGCGGCAGAAGTGCCGGAACATCGAGGGTGAGTCCTGAGAAGACAGCTGGGTGTTGACTCCGAGAGTCTCTTGCCCCTGGGGTGGGCATGAGGGCTTCATGCCTAACGTGGCGGCTGGCACAGAGTAGCATAGGTACTTAGAAAGCTTTGAGTGACATGGGCTGTTGGTACTCGGTGACGGGGTCTGTCATGCAAGTCCCACCACCTCCAGCCTGCTTCACGCACACATCTGTCTTCCTGGTGCCACAGTCTTACTTTCCTGTCAATGGCATGGGCTGGTCATTCCGACTTGGGACACCCCAGTGAGTCAGAGAAGGGTGGCCCCTCTTGGGTTTGATTGAACTCGCCTGAACACCTTTCAGCTTTTCACCTTAACTTTCCTGTCATCCAGTGGTCATTAGAGCATCCCATGTCTGTCACCATTGGCCTAGTGATGGTGTGTCCAGCTTTGGGGCCCTGAGTCAGGAGGAAGGGGGGCAGGGGCCCAGGGCTTAAGGTCTGCCCAAGGACTGTTGCCAGAGTCAGTCGGGGTCAGGACTCTCCTCGTTGGCGGGTTCTTGTCCTTGTCTTATGCTGTTCCTGGATGGCAGCATTGCTGCTCTGAGAGATGAGTGCCACCAGATCGGAGCCACGGCGACCCCCTGTTCCCTGGGGTGCCTCCCAGACTCCTTTCTGCCTTCTGTTTTGGCTGCTGCTCCAGCACGCCCCTCTTTTGTAACTTTTCTGGAACTGGGCTTTGACCCAAGATGGGAGTGGGGGGGGCTTCGGTGATGTTCCCTCTGCTTTCCAGACATTTGCATCTCTTGTGGGAGCCTTAATGTCACCTTGGAACACCCTCTCTTCGTCGGAGGAATGTGCCAAAACTGCAAGGTAGGGACGCACCCAGCAGATGTGGTTGGGGCCGACCCCCTGGCTGACTGCACCTTCTCGCCTCTGGGGGATTGTAGGGGAACGGCCCCTGGGTGCCTGTGAGGTTGACTTCAAGGTTGCTCTGGAAGCTGAGTCCTGATAAAGTGGACCCTTGGGCTTCAAGCGTTTGACTTACCTTTATTTTTCTTCCTGAAAGATTCATACCTCCTCTAAAGCCCATTCTAGTCCCCAGATGTGGGTTCACAGGGTCACAGTCATTCCTGTGATGGTGGGAGGAGGACATGCTGTGCCCTCGGGGGCCCCAGGGGAAGAGCTCAGGGCTGCAGTAAGGGACAGGGTGGTGCAGCTCCCTCCCTGGCCTTCTCCCATGCCTCCCTCTGTTTTGTCCGCTGCCCGCTGCCGTGAGGCGGGAGACACGCTGTCTCCTTCCCAGATCTGTGGTTTGGGCTGGACCCTGGCTGTTCAGGTGGCAGGGTCATGTCTCCAGGGCTGAGTCAGGGATCCAAGGTGAGAGCCAGAGGCTGGGTTCAAAGCCTGCCTTCCCCCTGGCTGTCCCGGGTCCTGCCGGGTGATCTCTGACCCTCTACCCTGCTCTCTAGAACTGCTTCCTGGAGTGTGCTTACCAGTACGATGACGACGGCTATCAGTCCTACTGCACCATCTGCTGTGGGGGGCGTGAGGTGCTCATGTGCGGGAACAACAATTGCTGCAGGTGAGGGCCCCCCAGACCACCACAGCGGCCCTCCCCGGTCCTTGGCCGGCGCTGGGGCTCTCACTGGCCATCCACCCCTGCCCTGGGGCCCCAGCCAAGTTCCATTCAGGACTGACCTGGGGCTGAGAGTCCTCTCTGCACACTGGGCTTTCTTCCAGGTGCTTTTGCGTGGAGTGTGTGGACCTCTTGGTGGGGCCGGGGGCTGCCCAGGCAGCCATTAAGGAAGACCCTTGGAACTGCTATATGTGTGGGCACAAGGGCACCTATGGGCTGCTGCGGCGGCGGGAAGACTGGCCCTCTCGGCTCCAGATGTTCTTCGCCAATAACCACGACCAGGAATTTGTGAGTGCTGGGCCTAGGGCGTCTCTTTTCACCCCCTACCTGCCAGAGCCTGAGGGCAGGCTCAGCGGAAGCAAGAGCGCTTCATTTGGTCTTGGGGCCTGGGCGAGGAGCAGAGGTGCCTGAGCCGCACGCAGGGTGTGTAGGTCACACTGCCAAAGCGATCCTAGTCGCTTTGATCCTGGGTGGGCCAGCCCTGGGTGCGGGTCTGTAGAACACTCCTGGGCGTTCACCTGGCCTGTTGTGCTCACTGTCTAGGACCCTCCGAAGGTTTACCCACCTGTCCCAGCTGAGAAGAGGAAGCCCATCCGGGTGCTATCTCTATTTGATGGAATTGCTACAGGTGAGAGCGGCACAGATCCCGAGAGGTGCTGGCGTTCTCGTCCTGGGCTGTGGGAGCTCTGCTTGGGGGAGTGTGTGTGTGTAATTCTGGCAAAACCAAACGACAGTCGACATTACAACTGTGAAAATAGTGCCCTAAAGAGGCAACTTTTATGTTCAATGAAAAGTAACATCAGTGGTAAACCGGCATGTCTGGTGGGCACGTTTCTTAATGGAGGAGGCTCTGCCGCAGAGGACAGAGCGATCGTTAGAGATGATTGAAGATTTTCACAAAGCCTCAAAGGACAGGCTCAGCGACCAAAACGAAAACATAGGCAGTTCTGTTGTGATTTGATTGTAAGTCACAGTAAAAATCAAACTATAAACAAGAGAGTCTAAAGAATATTTAAATCATTGATAATCCTATAATTAGTGTTTTGCTATGTCCTTTTTAGACTTTTTTCTGTGCATATATGTGAATGTGCTTATATAATCAAACAGAGAGAGACAAATAAAACAGGGCTAGTAAATGCATACTGTGCTATAACCTGTGTTTTTGTTTATGATGTTATGACTACTTTTTCATGTCAACCAACATAGAGCTCATTCTTTATTTGTAAAAGCTGCGTAGGATTCCATTGAGTGAAAGTACCATAATTTATTTAAAGAGCACCCTATTGGATTGTTTCCTGTTTTTTTCACTGTTACGAGCAGTGTTGTGACAAGCATCCTATACATTCATCTTTATATGCATAAACTCTTATCTTTTAGGAAATGCTGAGTCACCGTGTAGGCACTGTTTTTTTCATGTGGTTCTTGACCCTGCCAGAAACCCCTCCCAAAAGGTTACACTGATGTATATCCCCCCCCTGCCCTGCCCCCCAGGCTGAGTGCTCCTCAGAACTTGTCTTCATGTGACCAGAAGGAGATGGGCAGTCAGTGCCCGGGGGCCTTGGCCAAAGGGCCAGGGTGAGGATGGCATCATAGGCCAGATGTTTGTCTTCTGTTCTCAGCTCAGTGCTGGTGTTATATAAACCTAGAGAGGCTAACCTACAGTTTTGGTTTCCCAGGCTAGAACTGTGAGGCCTCCTTTAACCATGTCACACCTCAAGAGGCTGTAAAAGCTCCTTGGTGGGGAGTCTGGGGAGCAGTGGGAATGGTGCCACGGTACCCTGTTTCCCCTGAAGCGCTCAGGCTCTGTTTTAATTGTTTCCTTGTCTCAGTTCAGCAAGCGTTTGTGGAGGGATCCTGGTGAGGAAGGGAGTGTAGTTAGCTTAGGAGGAAACCCGTGAATGAGCCCTCCTACTCTGTTGAAGACCATTTGCAACCCAAGAGAAGGGCTGAGTTAGGAATCCATGCTGCTCTGATGAGGTGGAGAGGGCTGCAAAGTGCTGGGGGCTTACAGAGGCGGGGAGGCGATCCAGGGGCTGCGAGGCGGGGCGGGGCATGGATGAAACCTTTTGAGAGCAGGTGGCCATCATGTCAAGTCTTGAAGGTGGGTAGAATTGCAGCAGGAGGTGAAGCGAGGGCGAGGGGTGAGGAAGGACAGGTGTATGCAAGGTGTAGACACGGCAAAGAGAGGCCACGCAGAGTCAACCACTCTTCTCCCTGGTTCCTGAAACCACCTGCTGTCCCGTCAGTCTTTCCCGGCCTTGACTGCCTTTGAAGTAGATCAAACTGGGCATGGAACAGCCTCAGTGTCGTTTTCATTGATATTCCAGTTTGATCCAGAAGAATCCCGCAGCTTACTGGGCTGGGGAGGGCTTGGGCCTGTCGCTGATCTACGTGTCCAGCTGGCCATAGGGCTCCCCTGCGAAGACTGGGGTGCCGGGGAGGTGACCTGGTGACAGTGCTTTTTGCTGGCTGACGCAGGGCTTCTGGTGCTGAAGGACTTGGGCATTCAGGTGGATCGCTACATCGCCTCGGAGGTGTGCGAGGACTCCATCACAGTGGGCATGGTGCGGCACCAGGGGAAGATCATGTACGTCGGGGACGTCCGCAGCGTCACGCAGAAGCATGTATGTCAGTGCCGGGGGGGGCCGTCCACCCTGTTTCCGTCCCTTGCACTTAGCTCCTGGGGGCGGGGGCAGGGCCGGTCCTCTTTCATTTTGTTCATTTGCTCTTTTCCTTTCTTCCTGTTTCCCAGCCTCTCTTCCTCCTCCTCTACCTTTTTCCTCCTTGTCTTGAGAGGGTAATGGGCAGACTAAAATGGGAATTGGGGAGCTGACCTTTTGGGGCTCAGGCTGCTCCCTGTCTGGTGTCAGGGCCCTGTTTAGTTGAGCCCTGTAGAGTGCAGCGAGGTTCCCGTCCCCCCGTCCTTCTGACGACAGCTTTACTGGCCTCCGTTTCTGGCGAGGTCTTGCCTAAGTGACCCTTCACCCTTCCAGTTTTCTGTGTCTCAGGAATCCTGAAGGGCATTTGGAGGGTGTTCAGGTGGCCCAGGCCCTCTGCCCAAAGCGCGCAGAGCTCCAAGTACCTCCATGTTTGGCTGTCCAGCGTGGACTGCCTTCCCACTGAGCGTTTGCTTGTCCTGCTGGGAGACTGTCCACTGGTTTCCCTGCTGGCCTCAGACATTATCCAGTTCAGCCGCTTCACTGTGTTGTTTAGGAAACTGAGCCCAGAGCGCCTCAGTGCCTTGCCTGTGGCTGCACAGTCTGTGTGTGTGTGTGTGTGTGTCGTATGTATGTCTGTGCATATGTAGTAAGCAGACAAAGCAGCCAGGTCTCCTCTCTCCTGTGCCAAAGAACTTTTTGCCAAATTCACAGATCATTTCTCTCTTCCTTTCTGCCTCTGTCCCCGGACATCAGGCCCATCACATTACCTTTATCCTCCCAGATCCAGGAGTGGGGCCCGTTCGATCTGGTGATTGGGGGCAGTCCCTGCAATGATCTCTCCATCGTCAACCCGGCCCGCAAGGGACTCTACGGTAGGTGCTGTGCTCACCCCACTGCCTTCTGAGCTGGTGCTTCCGCACGTAGGTTTCCTACTTGGATATTTCTGCCCTGGGACGGCTACTCCCAATGACCCTGTCCTCCCTTGCCCTCCCCGAGCCCGAGCCATACCACCGTCTCGTGCAGACAGCCCCAGCTGATGGCTTTCTCTTCCGACCTCTCAGAGGGCACTGGCCGGCTCTTCTTTGAGTTCTACCGCCTCCTGCATGATGCGCGGCCCAAAGAGGGAGATGATCGCCCCTTCTTCTGGCTCTTTGAGAATGTGGTGGCCATGGGCGTTAGTGACAAGAGGGACATCTCGCGATTTCTCGAGGTATAGCCAGCAACCTTGGTTTGGCCAGCTCACTAATGGCTTCTACCTTGGACTGCTGCTTTATCGCTGTCTCATCTGCATTGTGGAGCTGGGGACTGGTGACTTCTGCTTTGCAAGGGGCCTGTTTGGGAAGCTCAGAGCTTCCCAATTAGACAGGGAGGAAGCACTGTTCAAGGCCCACCCCGGAAAGAACCCGTGGTCTCACTCTAAGAGGTGGTATGTGGGTGTGGGCCTCAGGACTTAAAGGACCTGACTGTTACTAAATAGAGTGGGGTGCCAGACACCTGGGGTTGGGCTTCTGTGTGGTGTTTTGCTGGGGGAACCTTCGAGATGCCAGAATCGATTTTTCCCTGACCAGAATGGCTTATCCTCCATCCATACCACCATGACAATGCGTTATCGTACCTGGGAAGAAAACATGGCTTATCTGTTTTTATTCCCCATAATGTGGGTCCCGTCTGGACTCTGAGCCAGGTCTGAGCTGTGCACAGAGGATTTCCGCAGTAGATGATTCTCTCAGCCAGGTCTGAGCTGTGCACAGAGGATTTCCGCAGTAGAGGATTCTCGAGTGGGCAGTCTGTGAGCTCGAGCCCATGCTCCTGAGTCTTGGGGTCAGTAACACCTCACGCTGGTGTTCTGACTTTCAATGTGAGTAGGTGTCTATTTGGCTCATAGTCTGGATGTGCAGTGAACAATGTCCACGCTCACTGGTACTTGCTCAAAGCTTCTGGGTGAGCTAGAGCTGTGTGGTCCAGGATGGTAACCATCAGCCGTGCGTGTTATTTAAATTAACATTAAAATTCTTCAGTCACACCAGCCTCATTTCAAGTACTCATTAGCCAGCGGCAGCTCGTGGGCTAGTGGCTACTGTATTGAACATGCAGATAAGAGAACATTTCCGTCTTCACAGAATGTTCAGTTGAGCTGTGCTGGTCTAGAATGTTCCAGTGAGAGCATGTGGAATGTAGCTAGGTTTAATTCTGGCTTTTCCCAGAGGCTTCAGGCTGTCCCGGTGTATGGCCTCCTGAGAGAGAAGAGCTTTTGAGGCGTTAAGGCTCTAAACTAACAGTATTTCCTGGCACTGTTTAATATTTCTCTCTCGCTCATGTTTAATCTCTCTTCTATTTTATAGTCCAACCCTGTGATGATTGATGCCAAAGAAGTGTCAGCTGCACACAGGGCCCGCTACTTCTGGGGGAACCTTCCTGGTATGAACAGGTTGGTGAGAACTCCTGGGCCTGGGGTGGCTGCAGGCTGGTGTCTGCAGGCAGGACAGTGGCAGGACGGCCCAAGGAGGAGGGTCACTGAGCGGGCCTTCTCGGGCCAGCCTCCTCTGCTGACTAGCTTGCTGCTCTGCTGTGTTCTTCTTTGTTTCCTTTTCCTTGAGGAAGAAGGGGAGTCAGGTATAGAAAATACTTGCCTGAGAAACCAACGAGTAGTGGTCAAAAAGGGGGCCCTTAAAAGTGAAGTCTGTGCACAAAAGAAGAGTCAGCGTGCTGCTGAGTTATGTAGGTGGTTCTCCTACATTGGTGATGTATCACCTACACCAGTGATGCTTCTAGAGTCAACTGGTCCTTAGTGTCCTGAGGTAAAGCCATGGAGGATGGGGTTGGGGCTAGGAAAGAGAGGGGTGCCCACAGCTGGGCTGCATCCTGCTCCGGGAGAGAGAATCTTGAAGTAGCACCATGCAGGTTAGAGAGACCTGCTTCACTTAGTAACCACACACTTTGTGGCTTCAGGTCCTTTGTTGGAAGGATGTTGTTCGTTTAGGTTACACAGATAGAGCTTTTAATATCCAGGGATGAAGAAAGTCTCCTTTCTTCAGTGTAATAATTGCGTTATAAAAAGGCCTAGGAGGAGAACAGAATTCTGGTTGAGTTAGCTGTTCGAAAGCAGAGTAAGATCCACCAGTCTAGATATCTATTATGGAGGGAAATGTTTTCCAGAATGTTTGGGTCTGAGTTTTAAACCTTGGTATATCTATAAATTGGGAACATCATTTAATCTGGCCTCAGTCGTCTAATCTCCCTCTCCACCGTTAGCATGAAGTTGTAGGAGCTTTCCCAGTCTCAGACCCATTTGGCGAAGCTGCCATCTTTTGTGAGGGCTTGTTGATGGGAAAGAGATGGGTCAATGGGGCACCTGACCTGAAAACTGTCTCAGTCTCCCGCTAAGGTTCCCAAGATGAATGTGTGTATGGGAAAAATGGGCTGGCTTATATAGTCCAGTATTTTTATGGAGCCACTAACTCAGTGTCTCCTGACAGACCTTGGTCCTATGGGATTGTTCTCACCTGCTTCTTCCAACTCTAAAATTCTAGAACTCTGAGCTTCCAGGAGGAGCAGAGGTACCACGTGGGACCAAGTAGAGTGTGTGTGCGCATAAATAGGGAGGAATTGGGAGGGGAGCAATTTGACCGCGGGTTCCCCTCGTTTCCATGCTGAGAGGATGGCCCGCTGTATGAGACCTGCATTAAGTACTCCTAAATGTTAGAAAAGGCCAGTGCCAAAGGTGATGTTCAGTGATGTGGTCTGCCCTCTGAGAAGTGACACGTTGAATGTCACAGAATTTTAGTGTTCTGGAGACTGTGTAGAATTTATGTCTCTCTTTAACTGTACATTTAAGGTGTACAGTTCAATGAATTTCATCCAGTGTACACACCCATGTAACCATCACCATAGTCAAGATACAGAACATTCTCTCACCCCCAAAGCTTGGTTTGTGATGGATACTTTTAAAACTCAGTACATTTTAAAATAACTGATACAAAAATAATTGGGTTTTTCCCCTTCTGGGCAGGTGTTATCTGCTTATTTGTCATTTGAGACCACTTTTGAATTTACCTTTAAGGTTTGGTGCTTGGTGGATTTGTGTCCATGGATGGCTGCAGTGTGTGTGCATGTGTTTTGGGGGAGTTTGAAGGAGGTTACATGTGTGGGTGACAGGGGTCCTCTTTTGCTTCCCTGTGTGAATCACATAGCTGCTGGGTGCGTCCCTGCTATTCTCCTGGTTTCTGCTGTTAACCTTCTCTCTTCTGCCTCCTAGGCCGTTGGCATCCACTGTGAATGATAAGCTGGAGCTGCAGGAGTGTCTGGAGCACGGCAGAATAGCCAAGGTCGGCCCCAGGGCCAAAGCCCTCTGCTGGGAGGTCAGGGGGCAAGGGCAGAGGGCAAGATGAGCTGGAGCAGCCCCAAGGGCTGTGTTCCACCTGCCCTCTGGGGGCCTCTGGGTCCAGCTAGTGTGGAGAATGCAATTGAGGAGGTGGCAGGGGATCATGTACCCACTTGGCCAGAGGGGAGGGCCCAGGGGAAAGCCTAGAGGGCAGGGAGAAATCAGAAATCCTTGCTGGCCTTCAAACCCTTCCTCGTTGAGCATCGCCTGCTGGTCCTGTGGGAAGCAGACACTAAGAAGTCTTTGCCAAGGTCCATGGATCTGCTAGGGCTTTAAAATTTTTTGGCTAGGACCTATCACATGAGCCTTCAAGCACAGATTCTCCTGTGATGCGGAAGCTCCATTTCTCTCTGGAGAAATTTCATTCGGGACTGCTGGTACCACAGAGGCGTCTTTGGCCTGAGTAATTTGGCATCCTGTTACCTGCAAGTCACTACACCTGTGAAAGAACCAATTCTTAGAAGACTTAAGGAAGGACAGTGGCTCAAGCTGCTACCTCTCAAGTCCTTGGCCAGCGGGATTGGACTAAGGATGGCTGGGTGACCTCAAAGTGAGAAGAGCAGGGCAGTGGGGTCTGCAGAGGCTCATGACTGGAGCTTCAACCCGGCCCCCTGGATGGACCAGGCCTTGTCAGTGTTCGACTCACCAGTCCCTGGCAAGTGCCTGGCACATGCGGTAGACGCATGACCAGCGAATGAGTGCTCATTCCTCTTTCCCTCTCCTTCTAGTTCAGCAAAGTGAGGACCATTACTACTAGGTCGAACTCCATAAAGCAAGGCAAAGACCAGCATTTCCCTGTCTTCATGAATGAGAAAGAGGACATCTTATGGTGCACTGAAATGGAAAGGTACCAAGGTCGTGTGCTGGTGTCATGGGGGTGTGTGGCGTGTTCTGATTGCTGTGCTTGAGGGAGGGACCTCTGCCTCTCCTGGCCAGGCTCATATCTTCCACAGACACTGTGTGAGCAGTGGGTTTTCCCAAGCATTTCCCAACAGGGCAGATTCCTGGAGAGGACTCCTGTGCCATTGTAAGGCTGGTCCCAAAATAAGAGGCATCTAGAAATCACTTCGTGGTGCCTTGGCTCCCAGAGGTCCTGTTGAACTGCAAGGGAACATTGCAGCTACAGGAGCTTTCTTAACTTGTGCTGCTCATTTTAGGTACTTTGCAAACAAGGACAATGTAGGACCAGGTGGGCCTTACAATCTCAACACCCTGATTTGGTGCAAACTGGACTCACGGGCTGATTTATCTTCTCATTCTCGGTGTAACTGCCATTTAGCCAAAGAGACCGTTTACACAAACAACCAGAGCAGATAGGAACTCGTGGAACTTCTGAAGTCAGGCAAGAGTTCAGCTCCTTTGTAGAGTTTTCACTCCTTGTGGAGAAGATACTAGGGATGTATATTTATTATATTCAGACTTCAGATACCCAGTGTGGCTCTAAATCTATGGTGGAGCATGTCCTGGAGGTGTTTTTCACAAATACTAACTTTGTCTCTACTGTGTGGTAAATCTCTAGGCAGTGATCATCTTACAGGCATGCCTCAGAGCTATTGCAGGGTCCGTTCCAGACCACTGCAGTAAAATGGGTCACACAAATTTTTTGGTTTCCCGATGCATGTAAAAGTTATATTTACATTATAATAGTCTATTAAGTGTACAATAGCATTACGTCTAATACTTTATTGCTGAAAATGCTAACCATCATCTGGGCCTTCAGTGAGTCATAATCTTTTTGCTGGTGGAGGGACTTTCCTTGATGTTGATGGCTGCTGACTGATCAGGGTGGTGGTTGCTGAAGGTTGGGGTGGCTGTGGCAATTTCTTAAAATAAGACAACAATGAACTTTGCCGTATCAATTGACTTCCTTTCTCGAACGATTTCTCTGTAGCATGCAATGCTGTTTGATAGCATTTTACCCACAGTAGAACTTCTTTCAAAGTTGGAGTTAATCCTCTCAAACCCTGCCGCTGCTTTATCAACTGAGTAATGTAATATTGTAAATCCTTTGTTGTCCTTTCAGCAATCTTCACAGCATCTTCACCAGGAGTAGATTCCATCTCAAGAAACCACTTTCTTTGCAGCTCCTCCATCCGTTCAAGTTTTATCACGAGATTGCAGCAATTCAGTCACATCTTCAGGTTCCACTAGAAGTGGAATTAGAATGAGAAATTCTTGGTATTTCTGCCACATCTGCAGTTACTTCCTCCATTGAAGTCTTGAACCCTTCAAAGTCATCCACAAGGGTTGGAAACAACTACTTCTAAACTCTTGTTGATGTTGATATTTTGACCTCTTCCCATGAATCATGAATGTTCTTAATGGCATCTAGAATGATGAATCCTTTCCAGAAGGTTTTCAATTTACTTTGCCCAGATCCATCAGAGAAATCATTATCTATGGCAGCTATAGCCTTATGAGATGTATTTCTTAAATAATAAGACTTGAAAGTCAAAATTATTCCTTGATCCATGGGCTGCAGAACAGATGCTGTGTTTCATTGTTAATGCCATCGGGTCGATTCCAACTCCTAGTGACCTTATGTACAGTAGAGCAGAGCTCTGCTCAGTCTTTTTGCATCGTCCTCTCATCTTTCCGGTGCTATATCAGACAGTGCTCTGCTGCTATTCATAGGGTTTTCATAGCTAGTTTTTTTCGGAAATGGGTGGCTGGTTCCTTCTTCCTAGATATTATGTTAGAAGGCATGAAACAACATTAATCTTGCTGTACATCTCCATCAGAGCTCTTGGGTCACCAGGGGTGCATTGTCAATGAGCAGTACTATTTTGAAAGGAATCTTTCTTTCTGAGCAGTAGGTCTCAACAGCAGGCTTAAAATATTCAGTAAACCATGTTGTAAACAGATGTGTCCTCATTCAGGCTTTGTTATTCCATTTATAGAACATGTGCAGAGTAGATTTAGCATAATTCTTAAGAGCCTTAGGATTTTTGGAATGGTAAATGAGCATTGGCTTCAACTTAGTCACCGGCTGCATTAGCCCCTAACAGGAGAGTCAGCCTGTCCTTTGAAGCTTTGAAGCCAGGCACTGACTTCTCCTCTCTAGCTATGAAAGTCCTAGATGGCATCTTCTTCCAATACAAGTCTATCTCATCTACATTGAAAATCTGTTGTTTAGTGTAGCCACTTTCATGAATTATCTTAGCTAGATCTTCTGGATAACTTGATGCAGCTTCTACATCAGCACTTGCTGCTTCATCTGGCACTTTTATGTTATGGAGATGGCTTCTTTCCTTACACCTCATGAACCAACCTCTGCTAGCTTCAGACTTTAATTCTGCAGCCTCCTCACCTCTCACAACCTTCATAGACTTGAACAGAGTTAGAGTCTTGCTCTGGACTAGGCTTTCGCTTAAGGGAATGTTGTGGCTGGTTTGATCTTCTATCCGGACCACTAAAACTTTCTCCATATCAGCAATGAAGCTGTTTCACTTTCTTATCATTCGTGTGTTCACTGGAGTAGCACTTTTAATTTCCTTCAAGAACTTTTCCTTTGCATTCACAACTTGGCTAAGTGATGCAAGAGGCCTAGCTTTTGGCCTGTCTTGGCTTTCGACATGCCTTCCTCACTAAGCTTAATCATTTCTACCTTTTGGTTTGAAGTGAGAAGTGTGCCACTCTTCCTTTCATTTGAACACTTAAAAGCCATTGTAGGATTATTAATTGGCCTAATTGAGATATTGTTTTGTCTCAGGGACAATAGGGAAACCCAAAGAGAGGGAGAGAGATGGGGATGTGGTTGGTCGGTGGAGCCGTCAGAACACACATTTATCGATTGTTTGCTGTCTTATATGTGGGCGTGGTTCATGGCACCCCAGAACAATTACAATAGTAACATCAAAGCTTGCTGATCACAGATCACCATGACACATATAATAATAACGAAAAAGTTTGAAATATTGTGAGAATTCCACAATGTGACGCAGAGACACGAAGTGAGCAAGTGCTGTTGGAAAAATGGCGCCGATAGACTTGCTCGACGCAGGGGTGCCACAAACCTGCAATTTGTAAAAAGTGCAATATCTACGAAGCACAGTGAAACAAGGTATGCCTGTAATCACCTTCAAATTCACAGGAAGTAGCAGGGTGCCCGAGGCTTGAGTTCGTTATAAAGGACAGAAGATTCGGCAGAACCACACACGCCAGCGCTCACCCCTGCCCTTTCTGCCTTTTCTCCCCAGGGTATTTGGCTTCCCTGTCCACTATACCGACGTCTCCAACATGAGCCGCTTGGCGAGGCAGAGACTGCTGGGCCGGTCGTGGAGCGTGCCGGTCATCCGCCACCTCTTCGCTCCACTGAAGGAATATTTTGCTTGTGTGTAAGGGACATGAGGGCAGACTGAGGTAGTGACACAAGTTCAAACAGACAAACAAAAAAATAAAACACAACAAAACACCAAGAACATGAGAATGGAGAGAAGTATCAGCACCCAGAAGAGAAAAAGGAGTTTAAAACAACCACAGAGGCGGAAATACCGGAGGGCTTTGCCTTGCAAAAGGGTTGGATGTCATCTCCTAATTTTTCAATGTTAATCTTCAGTCCTATTTAAAAACAAATCCAAGCTCCCCCCCCGTTTTTTTTTGGTTAAACATTTTGTTTTCTACTCTTTTCAGAGGGGTTTTCTGTTTGTTTGGGTTTTTGTTTCTTGCTGTGACTGAAACAAGAGGGTTTATTGCAGCAAAAATTGGTAACAAAAAATAGTAACAATACCTTGCAGAGGAAAGATGGAAGAGAGGAAAAAAGGAAATTCTATAGAAATCTATATATTGGATTTTTTTTTTTTTTTTTTTTTTTTTTTTTTACTATATATCTTTTTTGTTGTTGTCTCTAGCCTGATCAGATAGGAGCACAAGCAGGGGACGGAAAATAGAGACACTCAGGGGGCAGTATTCCCTCCCAGCCACTGAGCTGTCTTGCCAGCACCATTCCTGGTCATGCAGAACAGAACCCAGCTAGCAGCAGGGAGACGAGAACATCACACAAGACCCTTTTATACAGTATTTCAGGTGCCTACCACACAGGAAACCTTGAAGAAAATCAGTTTCTAGAAGCCGCTGTTACCTCTTGTTTACAGTTTATATATATATGATAGATATGAGATATATATATAAAAGGTACTGTTAACTACTGTACAACCCGACTTCATAATGGTGCTTTAAAACAGCGAGATGAGTAAAAACATCAGCTTCCGCGTTGCCTTATGTGCAAAGGGTTTTAACTGAGGATGGAGAGAGGAGACAGCTTGAAGGTGGATCATTATCGTGTGGGTTCTTTTCCCCTTGGTGTTGAACAAGGTGAAGGAGGAGAACTTGGGAACAGCATTCTCCCGTTTCTCCCTGCCAAAAAAAAGGGGTAGTAAGATGAGGTGGTCGGGACGGTGGAAAGCTGAGGTGGAATTCATCCAGGCTCACGCAATAACCTTTTGATTTTTCTCAAAAAGGAGACTCCCTCGGCAAGATGGCAGGATAAGGGGTCTCATTCCCAATTTCTCACATTAGCCGATTCGAGGGCTCCTTGTGGTGGGATCAGAGATAATCCAGAGTGCGGGGAAAGTGACAGTTCAAACCCCACCTGGAGCAAATAAAAAAACATACAAAACGTACTGGTGCTTTCCTGTCTAAGTCGCCTTTTGTGTGTTCTTTTATGAGGCCCCCACCATCCACCCTCTGTGCACAAGGCGGCTTCCGGCCCCTGGAATGTGATGTTTTTGGTCATCTCCAAAGGCTGCAGTTTTATACTGGGAGGCTGATGACATCTTTTGTTATAATTATTCTTATAGTTCTGGTTATAATTATGTTTGTTTTCAGATTTTCTTTAAGAAAACAAAAACCCAACCCCCCCTCCCTTTAGGTTTCAAACCAAGGTGCGGGGAGCAGGGTGCTTCTAAGTTAGTGGTGGCCCTGGTGCCCTGGCTCCCCACCCCTCGGGCCAGGTGGGCCACTGGGTGCAGTTACAGCTGGGCAACTGGGGAGTCCCCCGAGGCCGGCCTTCCGGGCGCGTCCCTCTTCTCTTCTACTTCCCCTCCTCTCGAGTCACGTGTGTCAGGGCTGGAGGGAGGGCCGGGTGTCTCTCCGCGTGTGTGTGGTTGGAGTGGTGTGTTTTCTTTTCTAGTACTTGGTCTGATGATAGCTGTCCCCTTACCTCGCGTCAGCAGCACCTGGAGCCCCAAGTGCAGACACTTGGTTCCACTTCCTACCGAGGCAGGCCGCCTGGCGTTGACGGTAGGCAGGGACAGCATTGGTGGCTCCGGGGTGCGGGCCAATGGGCAGATGCTTGCCTGGATAGATGGGGTGTAGATATGTGGCATATAGAGATATATATTTTATAATGGGAGGGGGGATGGCACCTCCTGGGACTGGCAGGGCTGGGAGGTGTGCTGTCAAGCACATGGTCTCAAGTTCGCATCCCTAGAAAGATAGGGCCTATGGTGATAGGCGCTATATAAATACATAGATAGGGTCACGTATAAGAAATATTATGTTGTGGGGAGCGGGGGAAGGGAGCTCAGAATGCTGAGCCTCAGGCCCCGTGCAGACATAAGCCCCACACCAATCAATCAGTCCCACACGCAAACATGGGAACATATTTCTCTACCGATGCATAACAAATGCACTCACACACACAGCCAGGGAGCTCCCAGTGCGATTCTCCCCAGGATTCAGGACTTTGTGGAGTCGGCCCTGCAGCTCTTTACCTCTGTTGCCCTGATTGCAGGTAGACTGTCAATCCCAGAAGTTGCTAGGTGCTGAAGGCAGGAAGAGGAGGAGGTTTCATTTTAGCAGGTGCTCTCCTCTAGCAGGTAGCGTTCTATCTCTTTTGCCCCTGGTGATGTCAAAAGATTCTTCTGTTAGCAACCTGTGATACTGACCTGCAACTCTAGGCACCAGTCAAGTCAGCCCTCAACTCCCCCTACTTATTCTCCCCCAACCAAAATTAAATTGACATCCAGGTCTGTCTTGGCCAGGGGGCTTCCATTGGAAAGAAATGGGACAGCGAACCTCATCTTTTGACTAAAGCAAATTAGTAATTGGTGACAAAACTAAACCAAGGCTTTGAATCCCTTGCTCATTGCTCAGGAGTAAGCTCACAGCTGGTGGCTGCGGTCTCCCACTCCTTTTAGGAGTGCTTTGTGCTGGACCCCAAGCTACTCATTTCCTTGTCAGAGTGGTTTATAAGATCACACCCAGTTGCTTCCTGCCAGCTCTGTGACGTGATGGCAGGTGGTGACGGTGGCCCTTGTGGGGCTGGCGCAGCTAGGAGGGGGGTACCTCTGCTCCTCCCTTGTTGGAGTCCCTGTACCTAACTGTGGTGCTCACCCCGTGCCCTCCTTCTCCAGCCAGGCTCCATCCTCCTGGCCTGGAGTCCACCAGCACCACTCCAGGAGGGCTGCGGGGAGGAGGGCTGCCTCAGGCAGTCCAAGGTGCTCCCTCCCCCGCCGGCCATCGCTAAGGTCTTCCCAGCCCCCGTGTCAGGACAGAGTCTCCGTGGGCCTTCCTCTGCAAACACACTTTCCAGCTCTCCTGGCTCTCCCAGGCCTTTTATCCGCTGCTGAAGTGAAGGAGCTTGCCTTTCCCAGTGGCCCAAGCTCCACCCAAGGGGTGGCATGGGGCAAAAACTTGGTAGCCAAGGGTGCAGCAAGCCTGAGGGATTAGCGTGGGCCGGCCAGCCTGCTCCGAGGAGGCCTGGTTGTTGTGGCTGATAGTTCAGAGCGATTGTTCCTCCTGGTCTAGCAACCTGGCTGGGCTCCAGAATGAGCCAGATGCCCGCTCGCAGGGATGAGAGTGAACAATCACCAGCGTTTCTTCCAGCCCAGCCTGTGGGTAGAACTTGGTAGGGTACAGGGGACCTTGGGAATGTGCCAACGTGGGCATGCTGGGATGTTCTTAACAATCTACTTCCAACCCTTGGGGGGCAGGTATTGGGTGACCATCTAAGGGGGAGCTGTGCTTCAACAGGGTGAGGCAGGGTTGTGCAAGGATTAAGGTGGGGGATCATTACACTTGCTGTGGATGAGGCTGAGGGTAGAGGCAGTGGAGCAACCAAGAAGGCCTAGGGAAAATTCTGGAGTGTGTTCCCAGTGGGATTTTCTTTGTGACGAGCAGGCCCGTTTACCCCTGGAAACGAGGGCTTCTAGGGGCTGAGGATGATGCCTCCCTACTTACTGCAGGTGCCAAGCAGGGCGTGGTGCCAAACATCTGTGGCTTCTGTCTGGGGGAGGTAGTGGGGGGTGCTCATGCCAGGTCACAGAGCCCTTGGTCTCCTGCTTGAGGAGGAAGCTAGTCTCCAGCAGGTGGCTATTGAGCCCTGGGTGCCTCATGCTGGCTGGTGCTAACCCCCTTCCCCGTGTGTGCGACCAGCTGCAGAACGGTAGGCTGGGGGAGCTGCAGGTGAGGATTAGCAGGGGGCGGGATCTTGCAGTCGGCAGATGACGACAGGAATGTGTTACTATCTGTTTTTCTCTCTGCTCCCCAGAACCTTCCTGCTATTGAGCATTCTACTAGAAAGCAAACTTCCCAAAAGAGCGTCCAGGACCTCTTAGCTTTTGAGACAGGCCTGGGCGTGGTTGGCTGGTGAGATAGCCCGTGTGAGTTTTGGTGAGTCGCTAGGGTGCGGATTGGGACAGGCAGACCCAGCAGGAAGGCAGGCTGTTGGACACTGAACTGGTTTGATAAGAGCCAGCTCCCCTTGCTTTCCACTTAGCTGGCAGTTCTGGGGAAGCCTGGATGGGAATAACGTACCATCTCCAGCACAGGAAGGTGTGTACCAGGAGCAAGGGAAGGAATATTTCAGTGGGGCCATCTGGGAAATGTTCTACAGGAAAACTGCAATCAGTGGTCTTCATATCATTGATTATATAAGTATATATAAAGTGGATCTTGGAGGCGGTTTTGAATTCCTGTTGCAGTTCTACTTGGTGCAGAGTTGCTGTGGCCCTGGTGTCTTTCAGAGGTGTCATTTTCAGGAAGCTTGCAGGAGGCCCTTCGAGTTGTGGGTTAGGGCCCTGGGGCCTGCCTGGCACTGTGGTCTGCGGAGGGCTGGCTGTTTCCTTTGGTCAGGGGAGCAGCAGAGCCGAGATTCTGGTGAGCGCCGAATTTCTAGCCAGGCCCCGTTTTGATCCCAGGAGGTGAGGAGTCTGGATTTGTCATCGGGCATTGTCTGGTCTGATGGCTCCCAGTGCTTGTGATTAGAGGTGACACTGGAGTTGTCCTGCCCTCTGGCAGGAAGCAGCTGAAGCCTTTCCTCCACCACAGGATGGGAAAGGTGTTGTGGAGGGCTGGCTGGAGCCAGCACGGGCCTCCCGGCCGTTCTGCACTGAGGCAGGATTGCCTACAAGTGTTTAGAGGATCTAGGAGGACAGAGAATAGGTTAAAGGATGAACTCCACTGTGCGAGTAGAAGCTCTTGAATCTTTATATTTCGGTAAAGGAAGGCTGGGGTCTTGGGGAAGTGAGGGCAGCCCCTCCTGCAGCTGTGTGTTGCAGTTAAGGCCGGCTTTTGGTTGGTGACCTCTTGCTTATCACTGACCCTAGGCGGTGGAGTTTTGGGGGAGGAAGACACAAGCAGGTCAAAAGTAGTGAGGACAGGATGGAAAGCTCCTTTGCTAGTCATGACTGGCTAAATTGCCCGAACAGAGGCCCATGGACTCCTGTTAACTCCAGTAACTGGAAAACTCCCCCAGTCTGTTCCACCCGAGGGTGTGGGAGAGCGGCTTTCTCAAACCCCAGTCTAGCGGCCTCCAGCCCCGTGCCTGAGGAGATGAGCAGGGATTGAAAGCATCACCTTCGTCCCATTTCACTTCACAGACTGATTTGGTTGCACAGCCCTAGAATTCAACAAACAACAAAAATGCCGAAATTCCTTAGAATACGCAGAGGGAGGAGGTGACTCAACAAGGTGCTAAAACATTTTATTAAAAATATATATTGTTAAATTAAGTCTGCTGTCTGGACAATGACTGTTTGTTTTGTTTTCTTGTAGTGGAGTTTAAAAGAGACTATTATTTTACTCTGATATATTATTATTAAAAAGGCATTTTAACTTTGTACTTGAAAACTAAATGAGCGATTTCATGTGTTTTAGCTGAGGCATTGAAGTAGCGGGTGCTTACTTATTTGTGGGAAATCATGTATTCATACTGAAGAATAAACTCCGTAGCTGATTTGGTAATAACTTTTACTGTTACAGACGATTTCGCTTTGACCCCGGCGGCAGAGCACTTGACTCCACATTCCACGCAGCTAAATGCAGGACTTACTCCCAGCTCCTTCCCTCCCGGCCCTCTTTCCTTTCTCTTCAGTTCTTCTTTTTTCCTTTTTTTTTTTTTTTTTTCCCCTGGTTCCAGCATCCTTTCACCACTGTATTTTTTTAGGGTTGCTTCTCTATTTATTGACAAAAATAATGTACATTTCACAGTCTGGTTCTGGGACATCCAGGGAGGGGCGTGTGTGCAAGGGCCCTGAGGGGTCCCCCCGCCCCCCGGTGTTCTGTTGTATCTCTGTGTAAGTGATGCTCGTGACATAGCTGTTTATGAAATGATTAAAGAGGTCAATGCGTACAGCAGATGTAGAAAGTCTGTCAGTTCCGCCTTCATCACATTTTTTTTGTGCCCAGAAGAATATAATAAAGCTCCTTTCTAATGTACTTGTGCTGGAGAACACTTGAATAAATGGACTGTTTTTGTGCAAAAAGAAAAACGGAAAAAGCACCGTAATAATGTCCTTTTGTCTTGCGTCTCCTTTCCCCTGACATGACTGTTCACAGCCTTCTCCAGAGGGGCTGAGTGCCCAAGTGGGAGTTACTAGCATTGGGTCCAGACGATGCGGTTCCTCCCTTTAAAACATCACCTGTGTGAGCATTAAGTAGGTACTGTAACCTGCGTGAGAAAAAGGACAGTTTGGTTGACTTGAAGCTCAAACGTCAGTTGTAGTGAGATAAGGTTGCTGGCAAAGCAGATTTTGTCCTGGGCTGAGTGATAGAAGTTTTCAGACTGGAGTGGGGCGAGGAGATGGTTTTGTGCCAGAGTCTTGGTCAGACGAGCCAAAGGGCTTTTGGTTACGGGCACCATTCCCCTCTTGGGGGGGTTTCTCCAACGCACAAGGTGCCCAGAGGAGAGCAGTTGGGGTAGTAGACAGTCTGGACTGTGCAAGGGACCCTGGAATGAATCGAGGCATTTGGCCTGAAAAAGGGAGAACTGAGAAATGTTTGCAAACACTGACGGGGCAAGCCCAAGGGCTGGGATTATTCTGGGTAGTTCCATAAGGCAGGCAGAAGTGGAGTCAGTCAGCAGAAGTTGGCCTGTTTGGGCTCAGCGTTTCACCCCTGGCCAGCAGTGCAAGGCGCAGCGCAGTGAAGCCCCTGTCAGTTAAGAGGCACGGGACAGCCCTTTGGGGTACCTAAGTTTGGGTTCTTCTTGCTGCCCGGCCCTTCCTTGGAACTGTCTTGCAAGTGGACAGTGCCTTGTGGTTTGAAGAGGCTGTTCACACACAATGTTCCCTTCATCCTCATGATTCTTTGCCTGACCATCACTAGTGCCCTGTCCTCACCATCTAAGAGACCGAATCTGAACACATATAAGAACTGGGGTCTTCCCGCCACATCTCACTCTAAGACCCCGGGTGTTCCCTGCCAAGCAGGTCCGGCCAGTGGTTTCTTCCCTTAAGGGTGGGTTATTCGAGGTTTCTTTCCCACATTAGACTTCGGGGGAGATTTAGGGCTGTACCACTTTGCTGGCAGCTTTGAAAGAAATTATAAGGGGAAAATTTGAGAAAAAAGGAGAAAACAGGCTTTTTTCATGGGCACTTTTCTTTACAAAACTGTAAATGTACACTTAACTTTTATCCTACTTTTTTCTAAGTATTTTTCAGTGTTGATGTAGAATTTTTTTTTTTTTAATGGCTGCATGGCATTTTCTTGTTGGATGTTTGTTTCTATATATATGCATTTTATTTTAGCTATAAGTAGAGCTGCAATAAATATCTTTATGTGTTGGCTTTTCCCCCCTATATTTTGTATTTTTTCCGTAAGATGCATTCCCAGAGATGAGACTTATTGGGGCAAAGTAGATGAACATTCTGGTTAGCTCCTGCCACCAGTGATTTCCTCCCCGCGGTCAGCAAACAGTGTATCTTCAGCTCTGAGGCTCTCAGTTCAGGAAAAAACACAGTCCTTGGTTTGTCCAATTCAGAAATATGTGTTAATACCAGTGAGGAAGTAAAGACTTACGCCTTTTTTTTTGAGGAGTAAGAGGTGGGAGCAACACCATTTGGTCACTAAGTTTTGAAAATTAGCTCACTTGGCATGTTCACTTGTCGGGGACGGAATTCAGACTGAATCTTAGAGACTCTAGCTCAAGGCTAAGGAGAAATGGGAGGGTGTCATCAGTGCCTCCTAGCTCTGAAAGCCAAGCTGGTGCCCCCCATTGTCGTCTGAGCTGGGAGTGGGAGGTCTGGCCAGAACTTATGGGAGGGAGCTGCTGGGGCCATTTCCGTAATAAAAACCATCCTGTGAGGTTCCTGTATTTGAACAAGGTGTCAATGGTGGGGAGTGACAGGGAGGGGTCAAAGCTCGGCAGGAGTCAAGGCAGTTGTGAAGTGACCGGTGCTGCAGCCCACTGAGACTGCCTGGGTGGGTCTGCCCAGGCTGGGGAGGAGAGACCACACACCACCAGGGCCAGGCTTATGGGTTCAAGAGAAACTTCCTTGGGTTCAGCAAGGTTGACTTGGTGGATCTGGAGTGGAATAGAGGAGGGAGGGAGACAGAGGCTGCTTGGGGGCTGGCTGGTGGGAGACCAAGGCCGTAAATAACAGGCCAGAGGTGGCAGGCATGGGCAGTGGTGTAATTCCTGGGGGCTGTGAGTGTTAGGTGAGGGGGAGAAAGCACCTGTTGGAGATGGGGACACAAGGAAGTCACATCCAAAAGGGTCAGGGCTCCCCGGGATGGTCTCCTGGCATCACTGCAAAGTACCCTTTCTCCTTGGCTCCAATGCACTTTAACAGGACGCAGCCCGTTCACCTCAGTGGCACCTTTTCCTCCTCTCAGCTGGATCCTATGCGGGGGTGCAGCTGGGTTAGGAAGAAGGTGCCTGGAAGTTTGGGTGATTCTGGGCAGAGGCATCTGAGAGGGGGACAATTGAAACAGCAATTTTCAGAGCTGGATTCAACTCTCAGAGAGCAGCCCAGCCACCCCCTCATTTTCAACGGCAAAGTCCCAGGCGCCCTGAACTATGTCAGAAGCAAGACCACAGCATTTAGAACCCGAGGATCCAAATCCTGTGTGACCTTGAGCAGGTTAGCTACCGGTCTGGAGCCTCGGTCCTCCCATTGGAAACCTGGGTTTTGTTTTCTCGACAAGTGTGTGACCTCTGGTGTCCCCTCCCCAAGCCAGGGTATGGGGTTAGTTGCTGGGCCTGGGGATGGAAGGAGCCCAGCCTGTGGAGATGCGCTGAGCCCAGGGCTTTAGCCAAAGTCGGAGTACTTGAGTGGAGGGAGGAACTCGGGGCCTCTGGGGAAGCTTTGGCCCTGCTGGAATCACCAGGCCCCCACCTCTCAGTGCGTGTCCATCTCTTGCCCTGCCTCCACTTGTGTTGCGACATGAACCTTATTGATCCCTGAGGTCCTGCCTGCCCAGTGTGAGGACTTCCGCTTTCTCCCTGTCCTTCCTTCCCAGCTCACCCCTCCTGCCTGTCTCAGGAGGGAGCCGCCCTGCTCCGCCGGCTCTGAATCCCTCTCCGCCCTCCTCCTCAGGCTGTGGCTCCCTCCCTCTGGCATCATCCATTTCTCCGTTTCTCCTGGAGCATTTCCTTAATGGCACCCATCCATCTTAAACACACACACGCACTGTCCCTTGACCCCCCTCCAGATGCTCTGTTTCTCCCTTTTACAGCAAAACTTGAAAGCACTCGCTGTCTTTGAGGGCTCTGCTTTCTCACTTCCTGTTCTCCTCCACCCACCCCAGCGGGGCCTTCACCCGTGCCACGTGACCTCTCAGGAGCTCCTCAGGTGACTGCCCTCCTCCCCGAAACCCCTTCTCCCTGGGCTCGCCATCATGCCTCGTGTCTTCCTATCCCACTGGGTCCCTTCCTCCCCCTGCCCTCTACATGCTGGAGGGCTGCAGGGCTCCTGCATCTGCTTCTACCCCCGACTTCTCCCAGAGGCCCAGGTTCTCGTAGCCACCTGCCTGCTCCGCATCTCCGCCTGCGTGTTAAACAGGCACCTCAAATGTGACCAGTCAAAGACAGAATGTTTGGTCTCCTCCCAACTTGCTCCTAGTCTTCTACGTCTTAGTAATTGCTGCTTAATTGGTGTCAAAACCCTGGGACTCATCCTTGCTTCCCCTCTTCTGTCACATCCCACATCCAGATCACCAGCTTGTTCTAACAGTACTCACCTCTAAATATAGCTTCAATTCGACCATTTTTCACTATCTTACTTCTGCAGCTTTAGCCCAACTCCTTGTCATCTGTCCCCTTACTGGTCTCTGTCCCCATCCTACCACAACAGGGCTCTTTGCTTCTATTCCTGTCCCTTCCAGCCCATTCAGTACAGAGAATAATCTCATTAAAAATCAAACCTTAAAAAAACTCCATCAGTTGTGTGCTATTACAGGAATAAACTCTTTTTACCCTGGCTTACAAAGCCCCATCCTACTTAGACAGCAGTCCGGCCACACTGGCCTTCTTTCCCATCACAGGGCCTTTGCACATGCTGTTATTCTCCACCTGGAAAGCTTGCTCATCTGCCTCTCTGCCTGTTTTCCCTCAGTCTCAGCTCAGAGAAACACTCCCTGACTGCTCTATCTCGAGTGGTCTTGTGTCCGCTCCTCTCTGTTTGATTCATTATCTTCATAGCTATCACCTTGTGAAATTCTTACTCGTTATTTTGCTTACGTGTTTATTGCCTATCTTCCCTACTAAAATGAAAGATCCGCAGGAGCAGGGACTTTTCCTTGTTTCTGCTGTTTCCGCAGGGCCCCAACCAGGTCTGGTACATCATTGTTATGTAGTAATTATCATCATTATAACTAACGTATTGAGTGCTCAGTATGTACCAGAAATCATTCTGCATTAACTCATTTAATCTTCACAACCCTCTGCGCTAGGTACTTTTATCCCCTCTTACAGATGGGATACGTAGTCTGCTCACGGTCACTGGGCGCACAGTGGCAATGCCTGAATTTCAAAACCTGTCTGCACACTGCAAGGCTGTAGGTCGCAGCCCGAGTTACCTGCCCCCACTCTGCCTCTCACATGTCCTGGGCTGGTCCCCTGGGGTCCCTGTGGCGGCTCCCCACTCCCTCCTCAAGGGTCTGGGTGTGCGGCCCCTCCCCCTTCCCTGCTTCCACCTGGCTCCATCTCCACCCACCACCCCAGGGGGCTGGTCTTCAGGGTGGGGGCATGCAGGAGTTGGAAACAGGGCACAGGGGAACCTTGGTAGGCGAGTTCCTATTTTATAGCTCTTACCATGCGCAGACACTCCTGCTGGTACCCCCTCCCCAAGACAGGCTACTCTGGCTCAGATTTGGGTCCCCTCTCCCCTAACCCTGGTTTGTTTCCTTTGTGGTTCTTATCACAATTGGTAATCATTTTGTGTACTCATTTATTGTGTCTCTCTCACTAAAATGGAAATCCAGGGGGCAGAAACAGAATCTGTCTTGTCCTCTACTGTGTCCCCAGAAGCGTACTACATATTTGTTGAATGAATGGGTGACCACACCCTGCCCCGCACCTGTGGGGATCTCCAGGACAGTGGTTCTCACGGTCTCAGAAGCTGGGCTGAGCAGGGTTTAGGGAGTTGTTTACAACGTGTGGGGCCTCTGTTAGTTCCAACTCAGCTGCATAAATGCCTAGGTTATGTCCACAGTGTACAAAGGCAAGGAGACGGGAAGCAACGTTCATCATTGAGCGTCCACTGTATACAGGCAATCCTACCCCACTGTATACAAGGAATCCTACCCCGCAGCTGCCAACAGTGACCAAACTTCCTACAGGTCCAGCCTTCTGCCAAGTCCTTTACATGCATTGTCTCATTTAATTCCCGTGCAAAGGCCTCGTACTCAAGTAATTGTGCCCATTTTACAGATGGGAAAATTGAGGCTCGTGAAGATTATGTAACTTCCCAGGTAGAAGATGGACAGAGGTGCTGTCTGACATTCCAGCCCACCAGACTGTTTCCAACCTCCAGGCTTCCTCAGAGAGAGCAGGTTGACTGGGCTCTCAGGGCAACCTCTCCATTGAAGAGAGTGGACCAGGAGTTTTTAAAAAAATTAATATGAATTTTCCCCCCGAGCCTGAAATTATATATATATATATATATATATATATATATATATATATATTTTTTTTGTGAGGAGATCAGCCCTGTGCTAACATCTGCCAATCCTCCTCTTTTTTTTTTGCTGAGGAAGACTGGCCCTGGGATAACATCTGTGCCCATCTTCCTCCACTTTATATGGGACTCCACCACAGCATGGCTTGCCAAGCTGTGCATTGGTGTGCGCCCGGGCGGGGAATCCGAACCGGCGAACCCCGGGCCGCTGCAGCGGAGCACCAGCACTTAACCACTTGTGCCACCGGGCCGGCCCCTGAAATAATATTAATTGCACCAAATTTTAAAATAACCTAAAGAACGTAAAAAGCAAAAAATCATTCATCATCCCACCTCCCAGAAATAATTGCTGTTGGACTTTGTTACGCTATTTTTCTGTGGCATTAGATACATAGACAACTTCACTAATCTAAAATTGTATTATTCATTAATATACTGTTTTGTAATAATTACTAACATTTATTGAGAACTCACTGTGTGCCAGATATTATTTTTCTGTTAACATTTTATTGTGAACATTTTCCCACATCACTAAATATTCTTTGAAAATGATTTTTAATGGCTGCATACTATTCCATCCCATAGATGTACCATAATTTATTTAATCTATCTTTTGTTTTTGGACATTTAGATTGTTTTCTTGTCTTTTATTTGGAGGGTGCTATTATCAACTGTGCTGAAGTGAGTGGGCATTCTACCATGTTCCTTCACTAATCATCATACTTTCACATATATTTTTGTAAAAAAACCCAAAAAACCAAAAAACATGACATAGGAGAAAAGCAGCAGAGAAGAGTGGGCTCCGGTATCCGGAGCTTGGCTGGGAGGGTGTCCCCCCTGCCGCGCGACGAATCAGGACACTGCTTGTCCTCCTGCGGGTCCAGGCCGCCCCCTTCCACGGCCAGGTACGGGGTGGGGTGGGGTGGGGGTGGGGGTTGCCTCCCGCCCCACACGCATGTGCGCACACGGTTCTCCGTCTGGTCCGCGGGGGATCCAGCCTCCGGGGCTGTCCTTTCCTCCTCCCCGGGCCCGCTGGGGTTTCCGTGAGCTCAAGGAGGCCGCTCCCCCCTGGGCGGGGTCCTCCTCTGCTAGGACGACCCGGGTCCCCCTGTGGCCGAGACCCCCGCCTGCTAGGAGCGCAAGGTCTAGTGGGATCGTTCGTTCTGCCTGGTGCCCGTATCTGACCATTTTCTGGCATAAACGTTCGAAGTGTAATCCCAGGGTAAGGGCTTGGGACCCATCTTGGTAAATTGGCCCCAGAAAGCTTGTGGCTCCCATCTGCGGCGAGTGAGGCATGTATGAGAGGTGGAGCGGCCGGGTGAGAAAGGGCAGGGGTGTTGGGGGCTCGCCTTTACCTGGGGGGATCTTGGGGGTGTCTCCACGCGGTTCTCTGAGGAAGAACTCGGGTATGACGCCGCACGAGGTGGTGGTGGGGGCGACTGTTGAGTGATGGCCAGTGGCAGGAGTGTCGTGGTTAGGGGCCCCAGAGAATTTGGGTGTAACCCCCGGTCTAGGAAGGTTATTTCACCCTCTGAGCTTAGGAAAATGGGGGCGATAACGGGTTACTGTGAGAATTCCAGCGGACACTGGGGTGTAGATGATCAGCACGGGGCTGGGCCGGCCGGTACAGCAGCGCAGTCAATTCCCTGTAGCCCGGTCGTGGGTGCGCGCGCATGTGCGGTAGGGTCCAAGAGCGGGCACGGGTCTGGAACGTGTGCAAGGTGGAGCGCCCCACGGCCTCCTCCCAGGGTAGACTGAGGCTGTGAAGTTCTTCCACTTTTGGTGTACTTTACCGCATATTAGTCCTCAACACCTGGGTTTCTAGGTGAACTGAGTCAGATGAGGGAGCCTCGTGACTTCTGGGTTTGCAGCCCCCGGGGACTCAGCTGTGGTGGGATCCCTTCCAGGAAGTGGAGAGGAAGTGTGTGTGGGATTACGGCGTGCTGCTCTCTCTGTCCTAGCTTGCCACGGAGGGGAGTTTGGGCCATGCTGGGGACAAGGGCAGGAGGTGTGTCCTGCTGGTAGGTGCTCACTCTTTTTGAGTGTGGATGAGGTGTCAAGAGTTCCCCGGAAGGAGCAGGCCTCCTGGTCTGCGCCAGATTCTACCATCCCCCTCCTGAATCAAATTGGTGGCCAGAGGGAGGGGGCTGCTGTCCTTGAGGGCTGGGCTTTGAGGCTGCGGTGCCTAAACAGGCCGCTGGCCTCATTCCCTGCAGCTCCGAGGAGCCAGGGATTCTGAGAGCCCTGCACAAAGTCCCCACACCTGGTGCTGTGGCCTTTGGTTGAGTATGGTGTGTTGAAAGAGCGCGGGACTCAGGGTCCAAGACCGTCCCTTACTGGTTCTGAGTCTCCACTGAGTGGGCGGGTTACTTGACCTCCCTGAGCTGCCGTTTATTCACTCGCAAAATGGGTTAATGTTCTGCTTTAACCCTCAGAGAGTGGCTATGGGTTACTGAAATCCCTGGTCAACCTGCCCTAAGGGGCCGGCCTCCACTAGAGTGCAAGGCCAGAGAGTTAGGACATCTCCCTCTCTCCCTCTCCCTCTCTCTCTCCCCCTCTCCCCCCACTCCCTCCCGACATGTTTTTACCCAGTTACTTGTCACACCTGTCCACTGAATTAAAAACATTAGAAATTAAAGGCACAAAGGAGAAAATAAAAATATCGCATGGTGGTTACATGGGTGTATATTTTTGTCAAAATTCATTTAACTGTACTCTGAAAATAGGTGCAGTTTATCGTATGTAAATTATACCTCAATAAAGTTTTTATTTTTAAAACTCCTGCTATTATTGACATTTTAGTATATTTACTTCTAGATTTTTATTTATATATGGTATATATTCTATTATATATACATATGTAAATGTGTGTGTAAATATATAAATATATGTACACAAACTGTAAACAACTCTCAAACTCTAAATGTATGTGCATGTTTGTATATATATATAGTTTTTTTAATAAAAATGGACCATGATGTGCGTGCTGTTTGTGAACTGAGGCTTTCTGTAGACGCGGCCTCCAGCTGGCTCTCGCCACCTTCAGGAGGGCTTCCCACCCCTCATTATGGAACTGGGCTGTGCATACTGGACCCCCGTCCATGCCACGGTGCTGTCTGAACTAGAGTCACTCAGGGAGGGGAGCCAGGCTGCCTGGTTAGTGCAGCACTCCCTGGGCTCAGCCAGGCCTCTTGCTGGCATCTCTGGAAGTCCTCTCAGGCCTGGGAACCCTGGGCAGAGGAGGTACTAGGCCTGTGGACAAGCCTGGGGAAGGAGACAACACTGACCAAACACCTTGAAAGTCAGAATGCCAGAAACTTGGGGATGGCATGGGCAGGGAGGGAGGCCCACTTGAGGGAGGAAGGATGGGGATGGCATGGGCTAGGTCACAGGAGATGTCAGATGGAACACAAAGTCCAGTCTGGCTGATAGAAGGGGGCTTGGCAGAGCTGGGAATAGGTGTGAAGCACTGAGGGATGGGAGGCAGAGATGCTTGGATTGATGCGGAGTTTATGAGAGAGACAGTGTCCCAAGAACTGCCATTGGGATTTCTGTATGGCTAGAGCCCATATGGGGAAGGTCTGATAGGTGTTCTGGGTCTCCAGGTCTGGCTGTGTAGAACATGCTGTCTGCGTCCAAAGGGCAGAGAGAGGTGACAGATCAAACACTGGGGTGGTGCTGCAGGGGCTGTCTTTATTTCCAACATGAAGACGGGGCTAGCCGTCACCGTGAGAGAAACTTTCTGGTCAGCTCATCCGCTACGCCTTGAGCCCCATGAGTTGCACCATCATGGTGACATATTACAGAACCATGTGCTTAACAAAAAGGAAACAGACCAGCTCAGAGTATGAAGGATGCGGGGTTGTTCACAGAATTGAACAGACCTTGGGACCTGGCACCAAGGCTGGATGTCTCGGGTCTCTCTCTCTGTCTCTCTCTTTGCTTTCTCTCTCGTTCTCGCTCTAGGTCTCCCGTGCTCTCTCCACTTCTGGCTTTTGTTTTTGTTTGGCTCTGCCTGGCTTCCTTCTGTAAACAGGCTGACTCCAGATGGGAGAGAGATGGCCACTGGCAGCCCTGAATTTACACACTCTTAGCTCACAGCCCGGTGGAATGCTCCCTACAGCCTTATATCTAGCTCAGGGAAGAATTCTGATTGGTCATGCTTAATCCTGTACCATCTCATTTCTGGGTACGATCATTGTGCCCGGAAGCTGGGTACTCTGATTGCCAGGCCATAGTGATATGGCTGAAGAGGGTAGGGGGAAGCCTCTGCTTCTAGAAGGAAATGGGGTTTAAAGGGGCTGCTCAACCAAAACCAATGGCAACCAGATGCCATCACACATGGTTTTCAGGATAAAGTAAAAAAGGGGGCAGAGGGCCTGCCTCAAAGAGCACACAGTCTATTCAGGGAGACAGAAACACAACAGAGCTCAACAGAAAACACTAGTGGCTGGCTATCCTCACAACTCTGGGAGACTGCTCAGCTCTTGGAAAATTCAGAATACAAACGGTGACACCCCTATTATGCAACCAATTGGCTCACATTTCCAAAGCCACAGTAGCTTGAGGGATCAACTCTAGAAATATAGATCTTAATTATGATAAGAATGCAGTGTGGCAAAGCAGAAAAAGCAGACAGGCCAGAGTTCGAATCCTACTCTTTACTAGCTGTGTGACAATCAGCTCAACCTCTTCAAAGACTCAGTTTCCTCACCTGTAAAATGGGAACGACTAACAGTCTCCTTCTCAGGGTTGTTGTGAGGGTGAAGTCAGGGATGCTTCTGGGGAAGCATGATCCTGGAGCTCTCCCAAACAAGGCATTTCACGAGCCAGAGTTAAAACATACAGTGTCTCGAGTTGAAACACCTTCAGAAACACGCCTTCGGTTTTTCTTCCTGGTGGAGAGGACAGTGTGGGAACTGACACCCTTCTGCACAAGCAGCACAGAGCGTATCTGGAAGGAGATACCTGGAAAGGAGCCTCTGTGGAGCGACCTCCTTGCTCCCTGACCTCAGCGGACCCCATTAGAGAGGAAGCCTAGGTCAGACGACATTCTCAGGAGCAGCTGAAGGAGACTGGTGGGCACTGTTTTATCTGCTCCTTTCCTATCAGAGCCTGTTTTCCTCCAGCTGCCCCACAGGAGTCATTTTTGAGCCGGACAGTCCAATTCTTGAGACCAGGCCTCTTGCAGCTGGAAATGTTTGGGGAGCCCCTTGTGACATCTCCTGCCTGGAGGAGAGGTGGAGGGTGGAGAGATCTCCCTTTTCAGTAGTAGCGGGGTTGTGAGTGGTAAGACGGCCGTGGGAGACGCCCAGCCCCCCACCCCACCCCTTTCTGCGCAGCCTTGTCTTCTGGCCGGTTGGTGAACTGCCTGTGCTCAGGGCCTGGATGATGGCAACTGGGTTCAGCAAGAATGACCTCACAGCAGCCCTGTTAGAAAGAGAGGGCAGGGCAATGACCCCCACGTGACTGCTGAGAACTGCAGCTCAAGGGATGTTTCTCGATTTGCCCAAGATCACACAGCTAGGCCGGGCCCGGCTGGGGGTGCCCTTCAGCCTTCTGCACCCCCCGGGCCCAGGCCTCCCCACTTTCTTCACCTGCCTCTTTTGTCCAACCTTTCTTCCTCTTTTAATTGATTAGATAACATAGCAACATTAAAGAGAAACATATAAAAGAAAATCTCTCAAATCCCACCACCTTAACACGCTTCTACATATGCACGTGTTCTTTAAAACACCATTCCGATGTCATAAAATTGTATAGAACTACACACACACACACATACAAGTACAAGTAAAACTAGGGAAATCTGAATGAGATCAATGGATTATATCACCGTCAATGACCTGGCTTTGCAAGATATTACCATTGGGGAAACTGTAAAAATGGGATCTCTACATTATTTCTTACAACTGCATGTGAATCTACAATTATCTAAATAAAAGTTCAATTAAAAAAAGTAATTCTGAAGGAGCTGTGATCGGTGAGTACGTACCATTTCATGTTAAACCGCTTTTCATTAAGATTATATTATAAACATTGCCCCATGTTTCTACCACCCTGGCAATAATCACTTAATGGCTGCACAGCACTCCATCCTGTGGGTGTAAAATTGTTACTTAACCTTCTGCTTTACTGGGTTTTAGGTTGTTTCCAATTTTCAGCCACTGTCAGTAATGCCATAACGAACATTATTATGCATATAGCACTTTTATTCTTTTGAACTATTTCATTAGGATAAATTCCCAGGGAGTGGGTTACTGGGCATGAGGTTTTGGAGCTTTATGGCTGTATTAAGTATTATTAATTTAATATTATGATACCTTTAGTATTGCCTTTTCTAACGTACAGATTGGCTTTTTCCCAAGCGAGCAAAATTTCTCTGCTGTGCCTTTCAGCATTCAGATTTGTAGGAAAATACCAGGGAAACCCCCACCTGTTTCTACCTACACACTGTCACCCTGGATTTGAGCGGCAGAATGCAGGGGCAGCAAAGTTCAGCTAGAGGAGCTGTCAGGGGCGCCACCCTCCCAGGGGGCCTTGGTGGGCGTCCTGGGACCTCACGGACAGGACACGGGTGGCGCTCACGACCTTCTCCCCAGCGAGACAAAGCCGCAGAGGCCAGGAGGGGCGTGCGACTTTCCTGAAAACAGAGCAGCATTTGCACTCTTCAGGCGCTCCTTTCAGAGCGGCAGAAAGCCATTTCTAGAACACACTGGATTCGGCCGCTGCGTCCTTTGTGTGCCCGGTGTGGGGCGGAGGGTGGCCTGGGTGACAGGCCCCCATTTCTCGGGGGCGATCGCCGCCCGGGAGGCGCAGCGGGGCGAGCCCTGGGCAGCTGCTCTTCCAGAGCTTTCTGCGAGCCTCTGCGTCACTCTCTCGGGGTGAGCCGCCGCCCCCGCCGCCGCCGGAGGCCCCGGGTGAGCGCGGGAGGCGGCGCAGGGCGGGCCCGGGTCGCCGGACCGCGCGCCATCCTGCCCAGGGCGCTGGGGCCCGCGCAGGCCGCCGCCCGCTGGCGGTGTATTCGTTTATGTTTTATTTTATCTTATTTATTTTGTTTCTTATATTGTATTTCATTATTTAAAATCTTTATTTTATTTTTTAAAATTTTATATTATTTTTAAATTTTATTTTACGTTATTATTTATATATTTATTTGTTTATTCTTTTGAGGAAGATTGGCCCTGAGCTAACATCTGATGCCAATCTTCCTCTTTTTCTTTTTTCTCCCCAAAGCCCCAGTACCTAGTTATATGTCCCAGTTGTAGGTGGTTCTAGTTCTTCTATGTGGGACACTGCCTCAGCGTGGCTTGATGAGCGGTGAGTAGGTCGGCGCCCAGGATCCTAACCAGTGAACCCTGGGCTGTGCTGTGCCACTGGTCTGGCTCCCTATTTTACTTTGTTTTTTATATTTTATTATTTTGTTTTGTTGTTGTTTTGTTTTCTTTGATTATTAATTTAATTTTTAAATTTTATTGATTTAATTTAATTTAATTTTTCTTTTGCAGTTAAGATTGCCAGATAGAATACAGGATGCGCAGTTAAATTTGAGTTTCAGATAAGCAACAGATGATGTTCCAGTGCAAGTATATCCTATTTAGTATGACCTATTTCGTATAAGTATGTTCCAAATATTCTGTCCTGTATTTTTATTTAAATCTGGCAACCCTATTTGCAGTAGAATGCCTTCTTTGGAGGAAATCTGACTGAGAACCCTAATCCTATACCTCGAAAGTGAGGCCATTCGTGTGAACTGGGGGTAGAGCAGGAGTGTGACACCCAGCGTCTCCCAGGCCGGCCTGAGGAGTCCGGCTGACCGGAACCGACGTACCCAACCCCTCTACAGGGGCCGAGCCTCCCGAGGACAAGACCGCAGGAGTCACAGCAATAATCTGCTGCCAGCCTGTGTCACTGTTCCTGTCCCCCCGCTTTTAGAAGTGGACTGACTGGCACAGGCAGAGGGAGCCGTGACCTCTGCACATTGGATTGTCCCAACCACGACTGGCCCACATCCTCTGAAAGTGTCCCTCAGGCTCCTATCCTGTGAGCAACAAGCTCTAAGGGTGGGGCCCAGGTCCGCCACTGTGGGATCTGGGCGAGTCGCTGACAGTGAGGTTTCTCCATCTGTGCAATGGGCTGTTGCTGGGGCGGGGGTGGGGGGTGGGTGGTACACAAGATGAGTGATGTGAAAGTGCTGGTGGATGACAAAGCACAGACCCTCTGCGGTATGCACGTGCTTTCCCTCGTTAGCTTTACTGTGGTGTAATTCACAGTAACATTCACCCATTTTAAGTATACACTTCACTAACTTTTGACCTATGTTTACAGTTGTGTGATCACCACAATTACAAATAGCCCCTTTTTTTAGGTCAACAAACATTTGTTGAGCACCTATGCCCTAGGATGTGCCAGGCACTCCGGACACAGAGATGAAAGCCGCAGCCCTTCCTTGGGGAACTCAGTCTGGTGGAGAAGAGGGACCACACACATATCTCTGTGAGCAGCAGCATGTGGAGGGAGCACACCCAGGCATGGGGGGTCCAGCGAGGGATGAGGTTACTATTATGACTGGAATTTCCTAGAGCGTTTCACAATCTGGCTGCCTCTAACCCAGTCCCATCAGGCCCTCATTCCCATCCTGCAAGAAGCTTGCTTGGTCCTGAATTCCCTGGAGCATACCTACATCCTTTTTTTCTCCTTTTTTATCTGGCAGAAGCTCCTTCCTCTTCATGCTTCAAGGCCTAACTCAGATGTTGCCTCCTCTGAGGAGCCATCCCGACTTTCCTGGTGGTTCTAGGACAAATCTATGGCTCCTCGCTTGGTGGATTTGGGGCCTGCAGGTGCTGAGGGTTGGAGGGAAGCCCAGCAAGAACGGCAGCAGGGTGGGCCAGAGAATGATCACTTCCTGTGAGCAGCAGGTGCAAAGGGCAGGGCAAGGAGGGTGGGCACCAGGGCTCAGGGGTGCAAGGGGAGTGGATCTGAGCAGCCTTCCTGCTGGACCGAGTCTGTCCAGCCAGGAGAATCTGTTGTGCGTCCTGCTGGGCAGGAACCAGGGTTCGAGCAGGGGGTAGTGAATGGTGGAGTAGGTAGTGGTGCACCTGCCAGGAAGGGGCCCTGCCTGCACACTCTTACGGATCTGGGTAGGTGGTGCCCATTCAAATACTTGTTCAGCAGGTGCCAAGCAGCCTCCTACCTGGTGCTGAGGCCGGTACCTCTGAGGGTGTGTAGTGGGGGTCCGTGCGGTCGGTGGGCAGAGCCCGCTCAAACCCTGCTGTCATCCCCGAGGTTCCCCACTCTCTGTGCCTTTCCCTGCATCAGCCCCACGGGGCGTCTCCCACTGCGAGGCTCTGAGTGCTCAGAGCCAGTGCTGGCGCCGGCCGGTCTCCTGGGGTCCTCCAGGCTCTGTTCCTGGCGGTGGAGAACGTAACAGAGCCTATAGTCTAGTGGCATGTGAGATGACGTTTGCCGTAGGGCAGAAAGGTGGGGTGGCAGAGTGGCTGTGGGAGCACAGAGAGTTCTGTTCTCACCTTCCTTCCTGTCAGCGTTGCCTTTTAAGTAAATCTGGAATCCATTCGTTTCTTTTCAGCCGCACCGCCGCTGCCCCAGCCACTGCCGTGTCATATCTGGATGGCCATGTGTCTCCACAAGCCACTTTGGCCCCTGTGGTCAGTTCACTCCACGGTAACCTGAATGATCTTGAAACAACAATGACAACAGCAGCGACAATTACAAAAGCAATACATGCTCATGGTGAAAATTCAGAGTAAAGGAGGAAATAAGGTGAAAAGTCAAAGACAGACCCACTCCCCCATCGCCAACCTCCAGGTCTACTTCCCAGTAACAATCGATTTCTTCTGTATCCTTCCAAATTTTTTCAAAGCATATAAATGCTTTTATATGTGTGTGTATACGTAATTGCATATGTATATATAATTATACATGAGTGTATGTAGCCTTAGAAAACAACCTTCCAGACTTCTGTTTTTCCAGACTTTCATTTTTCACTTGAAAGTGCATGCTGGAGCTCTTTTTCTGTCACCATATCCAAGGACGGCCGCCCTATTGTTCCCAGTGATTTGCTCTTATAAATACTGCTGCAGTGAAATCAATTCCTAGCAGTGGAATTGCTGGCTTCAGGGGGACGGGCAGTTAGCATGTTGATAGCTGTTGCTCCATTGCCTTTCCTCCTGGCCCTACTGATTTCCATTTCCACAGTCTGCTATTTCTCCTCACCCTTACCAACACTGCCCCATAGCTTTGTCACTCTGATAGGTAAAAAACAGTAACATTTTAAAAATTATGAATCAGGCTGAGTTTTTAATATATCTGTTATCCACACGAATCTCTTTTTCTGCTCTGTGTTGTCTTGCTCTCTCTACTGGGTTCTTTATCTTTGGCTTGTTAAGTTCTAAGCATTCTTTGTAGTTAAGGAAATTGGCACATGTCTCTCTCACTGTTGCAAATATTTCTCC